GGAATATCCCTTTAGATATTAAGACAAAGAAGACATTTCGATGGAAATAATATTTATCTTGGCTTTATTTTCAAGTTTCCAGTTATTTATTCGAGTTGATTCAGCAGACGTCTTTTTGACATTATTACCTGTATGGATAATTGTCCAATTGCAATTATATTGCCATCATTGTATTGTATTGTTATCACTTACCAAACTGCATTATCTTGATTTGATCGCTGTTTTTAGCAAAAATAGCCGATTGCATTGTAATTTATATAAAATGCCCCTTGCTTGTCATTGTTTAAAGTTTCTTGGCAATACAAAAAGAACAATTAGTGAGGTTATACCCGACAGAGTTATCTTCAAGAACCAGTAAAACATATCTATTAACTTTTGTAGAGTGAGGTTTAGGTGATAACGTTTCATTTGACCGATTGAACATTTTCACTATTGTCAACATATCGTGTTGAAATTTCAGGTACAGAATGGCAAAAACGCTATATATGTTTTGGTTTTGTACAATATGCGATGTACGCTTGAAGTGCACTCAGTGGGGAAGAAGAAACTTGGTCGATTAAGGCAATCGCATTATGGACGAGCCATATGAGAGCAATCCGATCGGAATTGATCCCAGAATATGTGTGAAATGTAATTTCCTTTTCTTAAAGCATAACCATGTATTATTGTGTTCTGCCTAATGAAGCCAGATTTTCATATATCAGATTCATGTACTAGGTATACAATCAAAAGTATATACACGTTTGTTTAGCTTCAGTGTCCTCTTATCGGTATGGTTGTAAACGTTTCATCAACTTGTCTTTAAACACGAAGGCCACAAACATCATGGATAATCCTACAGGAATCTTCATTTTTTAATATTTTTCCATTAATGCTGACGCAATGTAACCACATAAATGAGCACTGCATGAAATATTCATTGCTTTGGTCACAATGCCTTCGTTGGAAATTTTAAAGCTTCAGAAATCCAGACAGCCTATATTAAAATGGTGTTTAAAGTAAAATCGTTGTTCTTGTTAGGAGATCAGATTTTAGTTATCAATGTACGATTGCCGACGAGTTATTTCTATTATTAGAATATCGCGCACCAGATTAAAAAAGACTTTCGTTAATATGTGACTGGATTTGGAGAGTAAAATACATGTTACTGAAAAAGAGATCCTTATAAAGAAAGAATATCCCATCGCAGTGAGACGAAAAAGATGAAGTGATCAATGCCAAACTAAACTAAAACATGATAGAATATATTGCACTTCTATTTCATTTTAACAATTTAGACACAGCAGCAGCAACTAGTAGGAGCTTGATATTTGCCCCCAAGTTTGTTTCAATGGAGTTGTCCGAAAGAAACCGCCTAAATTGTCTTTATTTCAGTATCTCAGTATACTGTATGTACTTAAGAAGGACGTGTTGCATACCGTCCAAAGTTCAATTTGATTTTTTTTACTCTACATGTGACGCGTCTTTAATGTAAACTGCAGACAGGCACTTGTGTGTCTTTCATTGAAAACTAAACGGATTTATGCTGTCTGTTAATAATTTTTCTCTTTTCAAAAAAAATGCTGAGGGATTAAATGAGCTGACGTAGATGATCACATGACTTCACATGTGAGTGTATAAAAATCCTTATATTAATTAAAAATCCTTTCCAAATATGAGAGGGGATATGTGAGCGATCAAAATTAGCAGTACTTGTAATGACGTAAAAATCGACCCGAAACTCGGTCCGACATCAATACCACTTTTTATTGATAATGAATAAAATCTTTTAAATCGAAGAAACTAACGACGACAACGGCGACTAATACTTATAGTATATCATGTATAGTACACTTTTCGACTGATAGGAACTACTTGACCAATCTGCTATAAGTATTTGTCTTAATTCACTTCTGATAGATAATTAGTTCCGAACTTGATACATGTTCAGTGAAATGCAGTTAATTCTAAGTCTTTCAATTTTGCGATAAAGGATGACAAGACAAACCCTGACAATGTTTTCTAATAGGTATGTGGTGTTAGACATTCTCTCTAACGTCATTGTGTTGGCGATTCATTCATGTACTCTAACGCGTTATAGATTATGAATATTTTCACAGTAGCTATGGACCACTTAAAAATAATTATAATAATTCAATACATTGTTGTAATGAATCATTTCCCGCAGGTGACAAGTACATTATGAGAATAGTTTTTCGTATGACAAAACCGGTTGATAAAAGGTGTTTTAGGTTCCAATGCCTACACAAATGAATCATATGTGTACTGAGAGCTAATTTGTAGTGATGGAGATCAAATGTGTAGGATTTTTTGGCAACACTAATGCAATAAGGCAAATAACGATGTAGGCGACGGCGAAAAAGTGATTGTGAATGTCGAGATATGTAACGTGTGTATATTGAAAGACTTCGTTCTAACGCGTTTCAAGATAGCTTACTTGACCTAAGGCTAGAAAAATGTTTCCCCTCTGTGGAATCCTAACAATAACGAAAAATAACATTCTTTAACTTCCAGATGACAATGTATTATTACGGCCCTTGTTCTGGTTATACTAACATATTTTGTCTATACAACATAGATTATTTCATCTCTGTTTTCATACTAGCAAAAAACAGTTTACTCTCCCATAAGTTTCTTTTACGTACAGACTCTCATGGAATGGAATGTTGCCTTTTGGAAATCTTCCGATCTATCATTGAGCAAAGGTGAAAATTGAGTTCCGAACGATGTTCCTTGTAAAGGCAGTAAAATGTTTTTTATTCGCAACCTTTTGTTTTCCATTTTGAATTATAATCTATCAAAATCATCAAGGTGATAACATTATAGGTTATAGGCGTTACCTTCGCATTTATCTTTTATCAAAGGTGTCTTCAGCTGTTTGTTATACATTTCGCTCCATTAAAATGATTTACAATGGAAAAACATCATCGTCAGCTTATTTTCATCTTATTTGCAACACCTGGCTTGTATTTGAGTGTTATTATCGACTTATTTTATGATCAGACCTTTGATAAGCATGCTTGATTATTGTGATTAATAAAATATTGCTAGAAATGAAGCTTGAATTGTCTTGCATTAAGATTTGTAATAGAACTGAAAGCAACAAAACATCTATTGTACACATAATCTTTGTAATTCACATTTCTTAGTAACATACATGTCGAATATTTGTTTAAAGTGATAAGCAACGGATTCAAATACACATATTATAAAGCAAACTACTGTATGGTACGTTTGTGAATGAATGTATTTACTTTTTTGATAGATGCCTTAAATATTTTTTAAATGTTTAAAAAACGAATGGATAATTGCTTAGTATCATTAATGAAAAACTAACGAATTTCACATGTGAATAATTGTTCAGTCGAGAACGAAAATGACTATTTATACAGTAGAAAAAAAATTGCTTATTCTCTGCAGGAATGAGGTAATAAAAAGTGATAATTTAAATAGTCAGTAGACAAAACTCAATAACTGATACAATGATACTGAAATTCGGTAAACTCTACTTAAGATACTTTAACATTTAATATGATATACAAGTGTTATGTATCAAACTTTCATAAACCAAAATCATGTTTAATTCTCAAAACAGGAAACAGGTCCACTCAGATATAAAATCAGATGAGCAACTATCTTTAAATGGAAGATTTCTTTTCATTTTAGAAAGACATGTTTTGTTCAATACATGTGAAATGCAATTACAATTTATTTGAATAAGTTTTAGTTTCTTGTTAATCTTCTTGCGCATGTTGACTTCTTATAAATGTCCCGTTACGGTACCTCGTAAGGAGACAAGAGGTCTTACGGAATGGATGACATGTGAGATTGCCCTTCTCGCGAGCTTCAAAATGTCTACCTGTTATAATGTTATTGAGATTGAAAATTGGTCGCCTTAGAATCTTTAGCTCATGATTTGAGGATTTCGTATTCGGTGAACCAGGTATTTTTACTTTTTTTCCCCTTCAACGATATAGGATTTGTTAAAGTATGTTATATCCTGACAGCCAATGTACATCTATATATGTGTCCTCTATTCAAAATAGATTGATGAGGATTTCAGAAATGACTTTCTCATTCTAGCAACTTTTAATGGGCACTTTTAATTTTCATGTAGACCTGGCACATACGGAACGAGGGGACGGAGAACACGCGGGATATCACAAAAAATATCTTTATATATAGATTATTGATTCATCAGGTATCACACTACTTATACACATTTATGTACACAAAATTGAAGTAAAAATAATCTCTTTCACAAAAAGTCACTGCAGGCTCACAGCAAATCTATCATGAAAATGTAACATTTTGAACACATGGGTCTGAGAACATGTTAAAAGTGTAACTAAATATTTCTCGACGGGTTCATACTAAATTAATACCATTTTACCTATTGTTGACATGGCCTCCTCGTATAAATAATTGCAAATTATGGGACATAAATCTTAATTAAACTGTATTTCGTTTTGAGGTCCCTTTGTTCAACGTGAATGTTCACTGGTGTCAAGGTATTTTATTAGTTGATCTGTCGAAGAGTGTCCTATCGAAAAGTATCATAGTCACTATGGAAATAATAACTATATTATATTATATAACATAATCATAACTTTAATGAGTAAGAATCGAGGCGTTACAGTACCCAGGTTACCAAATTATTGCATTCGCCTGTGATCATTGTGATACTTTAAACGTTCGGTTTTCAAAAATTCTTATGAGTATATTTGTAACAAAACGCTATTGTATACTTTAAAAGAAACAAAATTTGCTGAATATGTTCGGCGGCATCACTTCATTTAAAATACATCCTGTAAACCAAACATTCCATGCTCCAAATGGTGACAACTTGTATTGATTATTTTCTTACTTGGATTTGTATTGGATGCTCAGTATCCTAATCTTTAATCGCTGAGACGGAGTCTTATAGATTTATGCTTTCTGGGATAATTCACACAAATATCTGTTTTAGTCAAACAGGCGGTTTGGAAACAGATACAACGATGGCTGGTATGGGCTCTTCCAACGGTGACAAATTCGACGAGATAACGGTGAAGGTTTGTTTTAAAAAAGATATCCATTATTATATTGATGACTAGTTGATCTACAAATAATGTCATTGTTTTAAACTAAATGCTGTTGGTGATAAACAAAATGCAGAAATGATTTTACCCATATTACTTATGTACCCTCTTCTACTGCTGTCAGGTTTTATAACGTTTCAGCATTGCAAATACGATGAAAATAATTCGCATATGTTTGTGCAATTGCCAAGGTAAAAATATGATTTTTTTTGTCTTAAAATTATTTTAGGCCATACGAAACGAAATGACCAAATATATACGACATCTTGACGCAACCGTCGGAAAGCTGAAACGACTACCTAATCTCGAGGATAAGTACAATGAATTAAAAAACGAGATATGGTATATGATGTGCAAACAATGCAGATCGAAAACGCTTCATTTATCAAGTGAAAAATTGAATAAGATTGGAACGGCAATATCACATCCGCTAAATGAAACAGATACAGACAGAGTTGATGAGCTCAACCATGAAATAAAGATATTAAGGGAGAGAATAAAGAAGAAAGACGAGAAAATTGAAGAAATGGAGGAAGAAAAGAAAGCCACTTACAAAACTTGCAAAAGGGATTACACTAAAGCCACAAAAAGGAAATACGACAACGGTAATTTTACTAGAGAGAATGTTTCCAACACCACCACCACCACCACCACCACCACCACCACCACCAAATATACAAACCACCACCACCACCACCACCTTCCACCATGTCTTTGAGTTTATCATATCTGTTTCATCCTATTGAGAATCAATGTTTTCGTTTAAGCTACAGTTTTCCCCACCTCGAATGTGGATTCTAAGGTCACCGTAGTCATAGAAAGTCATTATCCAATTAGCAGTTTCACCGATCAAATGTTTTACAAAATGAATTACAACGTTATTGAAATAGCTAAATTCGGTTTCTGACAAATAGCCAACCAATGATGTATGTTTTAAAACGAAGGGGAGCGAGAACATTCTTGTCTTACATACATTTTCATATATTTACATACATTAAGAAGTCTGTACAAAAGACACACAAGAAAACAGCGCATTTCAATACAAATTAAGAACAAGATATAGCATAGCCAAATAATGAGTTAAATTGCTTCATACATCTGTGAACTCCTCCAGGCTTCGGTAGTGATGCCAAAGGCCCACGTTTTTTTAATCTTAGGAGGTCACAAGGATCATTCAAAACTGATTGACAGAAATAACACAATTTAGATCGGTAGTGCACCTGCCCGATAATTAAACAAATTTCGTAATTTTCATATCTCTGATAATTTAAAACCAACTTCAACACTTATCTCTGATTTCTAGAGGAGACGCAGGATGAATTTCAAGTTCAAGAGGATAGGAAGGAAGCCCTCAACGAATTTAATGAGGAAAATGAGGAGCATAGCAGCAATATATCTGAAATGTCCCAACTTCAAACGGAGAAACAGGCATCACAGAACGAGAAAGACTCCCTCAACAGGACCAACGAGGAGATGGCATCCATAGAGGAAGGCCTACAGCGCGAAATTGACAATCTTACACGACAACTCGGTAAGACTTGTTTTTGTTGATTGTGGAACCGATATTGTTGACCAATGCTTTTTATCATACGTTTATATGATTGTAATGTCCGCAACAAAGGAGACAATATTCTTTTAATAATTGTCACTTTATATTCTAGTACTCGTTTTATAATTATAAAAATATCTCCTACGCAAAAGAGGAAATAATACAGTTTCATATGCTGGAAAAAGGGAAGAATCTGTCAGTATTGTATAAGCTCTCTAGAAAAGGCTAAAAATATAACAGTCTCGGGTTAAATTTCTCACCAGGAACAAAGAGGAGATTTCCTTCTCCATGGTGGGTCTACAGAGAAACATAGGTACAGTAATTAGCGAGTGTAATTACACACTTGTGTACTTCCCTTAGTGAGCTGTAATACAGGTTTGTTTTGAAAATTAATTTTACTGGTAGATTTGATCTTTAGTTAAGTGTTGATCTTAAAACATTCGGGAGATATAGGTTGTTCTTAACTGGTATATAACATTCACGCTTTTCTTACATGTCACAAGATGACACCAAGGCTGAGCTAAATACCATTAAAAAGAAAAACGAAGAATATGTTAGAGACATATCACAACTACAGACGGAGAGACAGACATTACAGGACCAGACAAACTCCCTCAGAACGACCAACGAGGAAAATTCATCCGTAATGCGGGATTTGCAGTTGGACATTGAAAGATTGACAACACAATTCGGTAATACTCATTTATTATGTATTGTTCTGGAGTGAGATGTGTAATGCTGTATGTTTTTAAGGTGAAAATGCATTTTATCCGTTTAAGTGATGAAGGTTTCAGAATTGTTCTTGAAAGAAAAAAGTTCTCCGGGTATATCACCTTTCTTAATTTGGTTTATGTCAAAAGATCAAGCACAGACTGAGCTGGCTAACGTTAAAAACGAAAATGAGGATAAGTTATCTACTATGGAGGGTCTACAGCTGGACCTAGTGAAGCTGACGAGAAAACTCGGTAACGTTTTCCTTCATGGTCAAGTTGGTCTTTTATACCGATCAATATTTTTTGTTACTTATTTATAACATATTTTATGTGGCATGAGCCGAAGAGTTAATTAAGGAGACATCAAGCCGTGAATACTTTCTCTTGATATCCGTGGACTCGTTCCATGATGCGTAAAGGTATTTCTAATGCAACAGATGAAAATGATGCTGTTTTATGAGCTGTAAAATTAAAGAAAGAAATCTCAGTATTATAAGATCTGATGACGAGGATATTGATACAAAAGATCTTAAAATTTCCCCATCAGAACAAAAAGGAGATGTACTTTTCAATGGAGTCTCTACAGCGAAACTTAATCACAATACTTAGAGAATTAAATTACACAGTTGTATTCTTAACATAGTGAGTTGTAAGGTATATTTTTGTTTTAAAAATTACTTTAACTGGTAGATTTGATCCTTGGTTGGGTATTGGTCTTAAAACAGTTATTCGGGAGCTATTGGTTGTTATAGGTTGGTATATAACATTCTGGGTTTACTTACATGTCTCAAGATGAAACCCAGGCTGAACTAAATACTATTAAAAAGAAAAACGATGAATATGTTAGAGACATATCACAACTACAGACGGAGAAACAGACATTACAGGACCAGACAAACTCCCTCAGAACGACCAACAAGGAGAACTCATCCGTAATGCGGGATTTGCAGTTGGACATTGAAAGATTGACAACACAATTCGGTAATACTCATTTATTATGTATTGTTCTGGAGTGAGATGTGTAATGCTGTATGTTTTTAAGGTGAAAATGCATTTTATCCGTTTAAGTGATGAAGGTTTCAGAATTGTTCTTGAAAGAAAAAAGTTCTCCGGGTATATCACCTTTCTTAATTTGGTTTATGTCAATAGATCAAGCACAGACTGAGCTGGCTAACGTTAAAAACGAAAATGAGGATAAGTTATCTACTATGGAGGGTCTACAGCTGGACCTAGTGAAGCTGACGAGAAAACTCGGTAAGGTTTTTCTTCATGGTCAAGTTGGTCTTTTATACCGATCAATACTTTTTGTTACTTATTTATAACATATTTTATGTGGCATGAGCCGAAGAGTTAATTAAGGAGACATCAAGCCGTGAATACTTTCTCTTGATATCCTTGGACTCGTTCCATGATGCGTAAAGGTATTTCTAATGCAACAGATGAAAATGATGCTGTTTTATGAGCTGTAAAATTAAAGAAAGAAATCTCAGTATTATAAGATCTGATGACGAGGATATTGATACAAAAGATCTTAAAATTTCCCCATCAGAACAAAAAGGAGATGTACTTTTCAATGGAGTCTCTACAGCGAAACTTAATCACAATACTTAGAGAATTAAATTACACAGTTGTATTCTTAACATAGTGAGTTGTAAGGTATATTTTTGTTTTAAAAATTACTTTAACTGGTAGATTTGATCCTTGGTTGGGTATTGGTCTTAAAACAGTTATTCGGGAGCTATTGGTTGTTATAGGTTGGTATATAACATTCTGGGTTTACTTACATGTCTCAAGATGAAACCCAGGCTGAACTAAATACTATTAAAAAGAAAAACGATGAATATGTTAGAGACATATCACAACTACAGACGGAGAAACAGACATTACAGGACCAGACAAACTCCCTCAGAACGACCAACAAGGAGAACTCATCCGTAATGCGGGATTTGCAGTTGGACATTGAAAGATTGACAACACAATTCGGTAATACTCATTTATTATGTATTGTTCTGGAGTGAGATGTGTAATGCTGTATGTTTTTAAGGTGAAAATGCATTTTATCCGTTTAAGTGATGAAGGTTTCAGAATTGTTCTTGAAAGAAAAAAGTTCTCCGGGTATATCACCTTTCTTAATTTGGTTTATGTCAATAGATCAAGCACAGACTGAGCTGGCTAACGTTAAAAACGAAAATGAGGATAAGTTATCTACTATGGAGGGTCTACAGCTGGACCTAGTGAAGCTGACGAGAAAACTCGGTAAGGTTTTTCTTCATGGTCAAGTTGGTCTTTTATACCGATCAATACTTTTTGTTACTTATTTATAACATATTTTATGTGGCATGAGCCGAAGAGTTAATTAAGGAGACATCAAGCCGTTAGTACTTTCTCTTGATATGAAGACGAGGGTAATTATTTAAAAGGATCAGACCAACTTCCTCACCAGGACCAAACAGGGACGTCCTTCACCATGGAGAGTGAAACAGTCACAGTAATTAGAGAACTAAGTGATACAATTGTGTTCTTAACGTAGTGAGCTGTAATGTTCAAGCATGTTTTAAAATGTATATCTAATTTTTGGAATTGATAAAGGGTTTGGTATTGATCTTAAAACAGTTATTCGGGTGTCCTTCATCTCAGTATATGACCTTCATAATTATTTTACATGTCAAAAGATGAAAACGAGGCTGAACTATCTACCGTTATAAAGGATAGCGAGGAGAAGTCAACCACCATTGATGGTCTACACCGTGACATGGAGAGGTTAAGAGGAGAACTAGGTGAGATTTTTGTTAGAAATTTGAATGACTGGATTAACAAAGTCATCTTGACAAGTTGTACATTAAAGAAAGAAGGGTACTGTTTACTTATTATTACTGGCGGCAGCCGCTACCCTCCATTTATATATATTTTAAAGTTCTGATAACTTAAAGCGAGAAAATTAACAGCGAAAACAACCCAGTTCCAAAGTAAGAAAGTAAGAAATAGAGAAAATGAATACCTGCAGTGTCAGCGTCTTCAGCTTCACAGACAACACCCATCATATAAATCTTGGTCAATCCAAGTAAGTAATGTAACGATATCAAATTAGAAAAAATAGTATACAATACCAGAACAAACAAATAGGAATGCGTCGGAAAATGATTGCTGGACAGGTAAGGATTTGATTTTTGTGATGTAAATGTCTTTTGAGTTCTAGTTTTGATTACATCACTCAACCTACCTGATAAGAAAACTACAAAACTGAAGCTGTAGGTTGACATTTCGTCAATGTTAAGATTATTTGTAGATAACACTCGTTATCAATTGTTCATAGATGCAATGCAGACAACGCTAGCTGCCGTTCAAATGAAAAACATGGAATATGGAAGTGACATATCAGAACTAGAGACGGAGAAACAAACATTACAGGGTCAGATAAACTCCCTCAAAAAGACTAAGGAGGAAATGTCATTTACTATGGATGGTCTTCATAAGGACATCGAAAGGTTGAAAGGGAACTTAGGTGAGGACTATGTCGAACTTAATATGCATGTATAAGAATTTTTTTTCAAGTTTTTCTCCATAATCACATACAACTATACAATCTCACCTCACAATAATCCAAATTTGTATACACACATACATTTCAGTAGCATATTGCACTGTACAACTTACACCTAATGATATAAATTTGTATACACACACATTTTTAATAGTATACTGTAATATACAACTTACACACCATGGTATAAATCTGTATACACACATACTTTTGAATAGCATACTATCCAACTTACACCAATGATATTACTTTGTATATACAGGTACTTTAGAGGTACACATATGTATATTGTACTTACATCTTACACATAATGATATAAATTTGTATGTACATGTGTTTAGTAGTATACTATATTTTCATAAAAATATGTGCATATATCTGTATGTCAAGTTGATAATTTAAAGTATACTGTGGATTCATTTTATTTCGTGGGGGTCCAATTTTCGTTGTTTTCGTGGATGAGCAAATCCACGAATTTAAAAACACAACGAAATATGAACTACTTACTAAAGTAATTTTGAAATTTGACCAAGTAATCTTTGCCGACACCGGAAACGTCCACCGGTAATGACAGAAGCCCCGTAATTAGTCGGGAGTCGGGTAGTCTGAGGCTCGACATGGATACGCTAAATTGGTGTCAACGATATATAATTATATATTATTAAACATAACAAAGGGTAAGTACCCATTGTGATGCTAAGTATGATGGGATCGCAGTCGTTAGCGACACTGTGGACACTAGGCTTGATCGGACCATCCTGTCGATTGAAGATTGGATCCGTATTTCTATCCGACTACAGGTTCACAATAATTATTAATAATGCAGATCTTGTTTACACACCTGTTTACACACATGGTCCAATCGATACGCGTGGTCTTTTCATATGACTGCGGTACACCGACTGATCAGCACACAATGTTTATCCACTGAAAACAATTGTTTCTGATAATTACCGATTGATTACACGCCAGGATATATACTGATTGGTGGTTTGATATTTTAATGCGAGACTGTTGTAAACAGCGTTATAAAAACACAGGACGCCATCTTGAAAAAAAACGTTCTTTTATTCTTGTCATTAGTGTTAATTCCTGTGAACATAGCCTTAATACAAACAGAAAAAATTTCGACTGGAAGCAAAAAGAGAAAATTCTAACGTTTTTATTTTTTTCCCACAGAATCAAAAATCCACGAATTTATGAGTCCACGAAACTGTCTAATTTGTAGAAACAACGAAAATTGAACCCAACGAAAATAAATGAATCCACAGTAGTTGTATAATTTTTATTTTAATCAGCAGATTATCTTGACTTACTAACTGATTGATAAATATCCATTTGTTTTTTTTTTTTTTTTTATTTTTTCTTGTTTTTTATATGTATTTTCATATATCACCATATCTTCTATTTTATCATAATAGTTAATGTATTTTTCCCTTCAGAAATTGTAGGTACTGTATTTTTCAACTTACAATAGTAAATATAGTATCTCATGAGAATTAGTAATACATGTATAAGTTACTGATTGTCATTCCAATGTTGATATGTTATATATTGATTGGTGAAGGGGTCGCGGTGGCCTAGTTGTTAAGGCGCTTGGCCGTCTTTATCACTAGCCTTCCGGGTCGCGAGTTCATGACCTACGATTGGCACTCGCCAGGTACTTGTCGCATGTTATCGGGTGTTTCCCTGGAGAACTTAGACTTTCCTCTACCACCCAATCTTGACAAGTCCTTAAATGACCCTCTCCGTTGATAGGACGTAAAGTAGCAATGAACAATGTGAAACGTTGACACCACTTCTCTCTGAAAGATTTGTTCCAGATATGATTCTAAGTTTGGTTAACAATTTATATATGAGTAACTAACCATTTTATGTGCTTAAAGGGAAAACGATTGCTGTGCTTGCTAACGTCCAAAAGGAAAATGACAACTACGCTAGAGATTTAGTTCAGCTTCAAACTGAGAAACAGACTTTACAGGATCAGACAGTCTGCCTCACGAAAGAAAACGAGGACATGACATCAACCACAGAGGGTCTACAGCGGGACATTGACAGGATGAGAGGAAACCTTGGTAAGACTACCTTATTTAATAACGATGTAAAGAATTTAGTGGATAAATTTCATGAAGATATGCTGTATGTGGGTTCTAGCAAATTCAAGAAAAACAAAATATATTGTTTGATAGTCGATAGAGTAAAATAACAAAATAATCAACATGTCAACACAATCATAATCCAAACTCGAATTCAATGAAACGAGGAAGACTTACACGGAGACTCCTGAAACAGAACAAGGATATTAAGACCATGTGTTTCGGAAGAAAACGCGTCTTCTGTATCATCGACGACAACAGCCATATTAATCTTGGTCATCCTAAGTAACTTATTTCACGTTCTTGAAAACAACAATGAAACCAGCAGGGAAACTAACGATCATCAAACACGTCCAGCTTTATATGACACAGAAACAAAACTAAACGTGAAGTGAAACGACTTTGCAAAGTCCTTGTGATCTGTTTTGATAAGCTCTTCTACAAAATTCATCCTCGTATGAAAACAACACGGGTGCACATCTATTATGTCATTTTTTTTTTTACATATATAGAGCTTCAATATCATTCCGTACAAAGGAAAAGCAATTTCGTCAACCTAGATGCAATAAAGGTATCCGATACAAAATGTGTGGTGCAAAATTTATCAAATATAGATGTTTATGTAAAAAAAAATTATCTCGATACATTATTACAATGACAAGCTGTGTACACAAATACCTCGGTAAAAATAATAAAATAAACAGGTGTTCTGGCAGGATATGCGTCCTCCAACTCATCGACTACAATCGCCAGGTCAGTGAAAGATATGTAACGTTTTCGAATAAGAACAAGTTTGTAACAACGAAACCACCAGGTATACATGAGCATCAAATATACGTTTATATCATACATATTTTTGAAGCACAGAGACTTGTATTTTAGAAATGTAACTTTCTTTAACAGAAAATTGAAACCATATCGATTACCATACAGCTTAATGGAAAATTGTAAAAAAAAAAAAGAATTGAAATAGACGGCTCATATAGCAGAGAAAGCTATTACCATGAGTTTCATTTTTGATAAATTTGGTAACTATTAACGACGTTAAGATCAGTATATTCATGTATTTAGGCTGACATGCCACGAAGTGATTTCCAGTAGAGTTGACAATTATGTGTTTGAATCAAATGCAAAATAATCTGCTATTACAATGCATTACGTTGCATTACAATGGGACGGTTAGCGATATTCGAAAGTAGTTAGAATTGTAATAAGAATTGATACAGGTTAGAATGAATTATTAGACAAACCAGCATTTATATGGATTCTGAAGGAAGTTTGGAAATAATATATTAACGAGCAAGGTTCAAAATTGTTTTTATAATGAAATATGAGTACATAGTATTTTTTTCTTTTTGTAGGGACTGCTGAATGTGAATTAAGACTTGAATATTGAGCAAGTCTAGTCTTTTTATATTTTGTGTTTGTACACAAGTATGACAAAGTTATTAGGTGCCTCATCTTTAGAGTCGTGTTACTAAGTATACAATTGCTGCTGATGTCATCATGGTATATATGTATGTTTTCTTTAGGTTACAGCAATGTATTATCTGGTTAAAACAAGAAAAAAAAATAAATACATATAAATTCTTCAACAAATACATCTGAAATTTCAATGTGACTAAAAATGCAGAATTTAGTATGATAAAGCGGTCAGTGAAAATATTATAGCAAATGTTTTATTATTGTCAACATCATGGGTGTACATATGCTTTTTACATGAGGCATCTGATAACAAGGTTACACCTTTATATAAAGAAATATTCAGATATATGTAAAGAGAATAATTTATGTTTGATTAGATATGATCGATTTGTGATTCCTTGATATTTCTTTTATACTACATTTTCCGTTGTGTATTAATTAAATGATATGACGATGGCATATACTTTTTGTTGCCTCATATGTATATAGTTGTGAACCTTTTATGAATACTTCAACCGTACTTTAGATGCCTCACGTACTAGTATTTATGTTTCCAAAGCGAAAAAGGATGAAGAATTCCACAAAATCAAAATGGAGTTGGAAGAATGTCAGCGCGTTAAAAGGAAAGCAGTTGGTAAGTGGCTTTCTTGTATATTGTGCTATATCCACAGTAATATGTAAGTGCAGATATTTGAAAAGGAATCGTAATTCAGACACAAAATTGATAAATCAGTTGCGATATAGTCACCACACAAGGCTTTTTGATAAAAAGACAGCTAAGCATAATAGAATTATGCAACAGGCAGTGATCTATACAAATGCTTTCCTTGTAGTAATACTATAAATCAGGTGCACAACAGACATATAATACATAATACACACACACACCACCATCACCACCTCTCTCTTTCTCACCAAACACACACACCACCAACACCACCACCACAACCACACACCCACACACACACACACACACAAACACACACCACCACCATCACCATAACCAGACTTCCTTCGTCACACACTTATTTATGAATATGGCTTGGCATGTGCGTTGTTTTTCGAAAAAGTTATCAACCATAGGCGCTTAATTATGATTTATCATGTAACTAATAATTAATGAATATGTGCTGATAGTCGTGGTCATGTACAAGGAAGGAAAATCCCGACACAACCCAATTCACAGCATAAGGAACCACATGTAAACCTATGTCCTATTGGTCACTTGCAAGTCGAAGGAGGGTCAGCAAAACAGACAGAAGTCTCAATACACCAGCACTCTAGAATTTTTTTCGATTTGCTAATTGTTAGGGTATGATATATCAATTGTAACTAAAATAAAATGTTCCTGATTATTCTTGAATCGAAGCTGTATTTCAAAACACTGGTTTAAATACGATCAAAGTGAATAGGTATTCATGTCAAAATAAGTGCAATAATATAAAATTTAATTGTTATATTCATAGCAATATATGAAATAAAATAAAAAATAAAGAGTCTCTTTTTTCTGATGGATACAAGTATGTTGCTATCCATAAAAGGAAAATGTTCAATAGGAAAATTATCACGCTGATGCATTTGGTTGAAAGTTCATGTTGGAAAAGGTCGGGATAAGTGGCAGCTGTAGAAGAGTCTTTCGTGTCCTCGATTTTGATATACGCCTTATCTATATCCATTTAGTGATGACATTATTGCGGAGCAGCCGCAGTGGTTTGGGCAAAACCATGGTAGACATGGTTATCAAGGAGTTGACAAGATACCTAGAGGGACGATTCGACTCAAACAGCACTGATATTTCTATTGTACTCTGTGAAACATCAACGAATGCATCGAAAGGACCTTTGTTCGTGCTATGCCTGAATATGTCGAGAGTCGGTACAAATATACAGGACGCCCTGGAAGGTACAAAAAGTAAGTCTTTGAAAATTACCTTCTCATTGTAACACGGAACACAGAGATTACAAGCTCAATTAAAAATCATCTGTATATATATGATGTATATCAAGGGTTAATGATATAACCAGCGCTGAAACCAAATAAATATCACAGATATATTGTTCATATTTTATATAGTCACTCTAGCAAATCATATGCTTACATCTTGACCTGAAAGCTTTAGTTTCGATGAGAAGAAAATATGTGCAACTACAATTGTAAAACGCATACATGTTCGTCGTTGGTTACTACACTACCTACATGACTTAAAATATATGTTTTATCAACATTTTGAAGTGACATATCTACATGTATTTCCTTGTTTATCAGAAAGAAAGGTATTACATTTTCCCCTTTATTTTATGTCTTCATACATGCATCTTGTAATTTGTTCTCGTAACCACGATTAGAATGTAGACATTGCAACAATATTATTGGTTTGAATTAGTTTGACTATGTAAATAGCAAACATGTTCACAATCAAAATTACCTTTGCAGGTCATAGAGACGTATATGTCCTCGTACTTCATCATACCAACAAGGACAATTTGTCTGAGATGACACCAACGAGTCTGCGTGTGACCGGAAGTGAATTACGTCAATTAGGTGGGATCATTGACATGGCGTTCACCAGTGAAAACGGGTTGTACGAATGCGGGCTCAATAATACTGCTGTCGACAAAATAGTAACTGCTCTGAAGAGATATTGAAAGTTTAACAAAAAGATGTTTTTTATTTACTTGGTGGGCGTTAGCTTCATCTAGAAACAACGCAACACAAATGTAAATAGAAACATATATGAAGATTGTTTTCGCTACATCAAATACGATGTTTGTCGATCGTTTCAATCTTTGAATAATAAAAACAAAGTGCAATATGCCTATCAGAATATGGGAAATACAATAACATTTAAGCCATTTCGATTTCACTGCAAATATGCATTGAGATTATGAGGTGTATGTGATTTCTCTAGAGGTCGTAAGTGAAAAATATATTCTTTTGGACATTGAGGGCACTAACCAAGGCAAACATTATATTTCAAGAATTTGGAGATCATTTAACTCATACGATTGAATGCAGAAATCGAGAAAGTAAATATTCCCACAAGTATGCAAGTAAACAAACTTAGGTTGTTAAAACGGTAAATTGATTTTAAAAGTATTGTTTTGCTCTGCATGTGACTATGCATTCCTACAAGTGGTATTGAAATGTATTTTCGTATTAAAAGTGACCATACTGTCCACGCAGAGAGCATTATAGCTGTTAATGTCCGGTTGCCAAAACACGTCTATTTTAACCAATTACCTTGATAACCGCATATTTCCAGCTTCTTGATTGTGAGATCACAGAGATGATAACGAGACACCGTCAATAAAAGTGCAAGTGATAGACAATGTGTTGTTATCAATCTCATTAAGCTACTCGATATATTCAGTCCGATATGAAAAGAACTTGTAAGTCAAGAGAGTGGCATCATTTTGGCACGGGTATGACAATACAGAGGATGTTTAAGGGAATACGACAGGTTTTTATAAACATTAAGGTGTCTTTTGTACAAGATTTCAGATAACTTATGGCATACACTGCTGGTGGACTGTTGGTCTCCTCGGTTTGCCGTAACCTGCACGCCAATGTTAATTTATTCGAATGGTGACACGGTTCAGAATATAGACATGTACTTAACGTTGCTCTCAACACTGATATGTAAACATTGCGAAATTTACTTAATCATAGGGCCAGTGTACCTCCCCGTTTAGAATTTGATTTTTCTTTCGATCATATCGGCTAGGCTTTGATATTCAGGTCTTTAGCGTCACTGACGGGTCCTAAAAGTACGAAACAGCTGCATGATGCCGTGTAACTCATTCTTTGGCTCTACAGTACCTAACTTTATATTTGTATTATATGCGTGTCTTTGTACTTTGATGCCGCCTTTATCTGTCATTTGTCTTTCGAGTCCTTCGTGTATCCGAGCTTTCAACACAAGAAATGAAGATTCTTTCGATGACGATGAGAAAGAAGCTTTATCATAACAAGAAAGAAGAATAACCATTTCAAGATTTTAGAATGAATGAATTTTGTCAGTCAGATATAACCACAATAATAACGACAAGGTGGTACTTTTGTAGAAATATGTTTATTTTTACAGTGAATGACATTATACAAAACTAGTAAATTT